CCTACACATTGTATTTGTCCAGACTGTTAACCACTATGTAATTTAAAGTACAAATACAAATTTGAAAAGCCATGCACAATTACCTTTATAGAATCCTTTATGTTGTAAACAAATGTATTCCATATCAAAACATAAGCCTGATTAGTGTAAGTTAGTGATGGATACAAACTGACAAGTACTAGATGGGGATCAACCATCTTGATGCTTAGCTCTTGCTTTACATTAGACTCATCTAATCTATTAATAATTGTATCACCAGCAGGTGCTTTTTTCCAGTTTGGATGTGAATTTCAAATGTAATTGACTTTCTCTGCCTGAGAAATTTGCTCTGTAATCCATCAGAAGCAGGAAGGTGCTAGTAGTCTAAAAAAGGCATGAAATAGTGACATTGTGAATTATTTGGTATATATTTACACCATGGTCCAAGAAATAGGAATTAAGCTCTTTCAGTAAAGCTCAACTTCTGTGTACCTCATTGTTTTCTATGTAGCTTCTTCCTTTTGGTATCACAACGAATTGATCATTGTATCTGGTTGCCCATTGAAATACAGTAGTTGTCTTAGGTGCTTCCAGTTCTAAAGAAACTTACCTGTCACAACAGCTCTGCACTGATTTTTCAGTCTCTGACAAAGGAAAACAGGAAAAAAAAAGGAAAAGAATATGAGAAGAGACAATGATGAAAAACTCTGTATTACAGCTCTCCAGGAAAGAAGATATTTGTGAATTGCAGTGAATCGTGTCAGCTGAAGAGACATCCTTCTCCATATGACCATTTTGCAAAGCACAAAGGTAATTTAGCAAATCATCTACTTAGAATTATGTAAGTTCTCTGATATGGTCCCCCCCAACATTATTCCTGCTTAGTTTGAGGGATATGGGATTGGTGGATGGACTGTTAGATGGATAAGCGATTGGCTAGATGACCACACCCAAAGAGTTACAGTCAACAGCTCAGTGTTCAAGTGGAAACCGGTAATGAGTGGTGTCCCTCAAGGGTCTGTACTGAGACCAATACTATATCTTCATCAAAGACACAGCTAGTGGGATTGAGTGCAGATGACAGCAAGCTGAGCAGTGCAGCTGATTTGCTAGAGAGAAGGGAAGCCATCTAGATGGACCCTGACAGGCTTGGAGAGTGGACCTGTGTGAAGCTCATGAAGTTCAGCAAGACTAAGTCCTGCACCTGGATCAGGGAAACCATCAATATCAATACAGGGTGCGGGATAAATAGATTGAGAGCAACCCTGTGGAGAAGGATGTGGGGATACTGGTGGACAAAAAATTGGACATAAGCCTACAGTGTGCGCTCACAGTCCAGAAAGCCAAATGTTTCCTGGGCTGTATCAAGAAGATTGTGGCCAGCAGGGTGAGGGCAGTGATCCTCCACCTCTACTCCACTCTCATGAGATCCCACCTGGAGTACTGTATCTAGTTGCCTGGTCCCCAATACAGGAAACACATGGACCTGTTGGAGTGGGTCCAGAAGAGGGCCACAAAAATTATCAGAGGGCTGGAAGACATCTCCTATGAAGAAAGGCTGAGAGAGTTGGGCTTGTTCAGTCTGGAGAAGAGAAGGCTCTGGGGAGACCCATTTGCAGCCTTTCAATACTTAAAGGGGACATAGAGTAGATTTAGATTGGACATAAAGAATAAGTTTTTTATGGTGTGGGTTGTGAGACACTGGAACAGGTTGTCCAGAGAATCTGTGGATGCCTGATACCTCGAAGTGTTCAAGGCCGGATTGTATGGGGCAGATGTCCCTACCCATGGCAGATGAGTTGGTCTAGATGATCTTTGAAGGTCCCTTCCAATCCAAACCACTCTATGATTCTGTGATCCTAAATGCTTCACTTTTACTATTTTTCTGATGCAAGACACATGTACTCGGGTACAGTCAGGAACATTTCTCAAACTGGAGAAAGTTTACATCTTTACCATGAAGTTATTTGTATTACTGGATGATGAACTCACTTTGACGTAGGGACTGAGCAAAGAGGAGAAATCTCATGCATTTTTTAAAATTATGAGATTATCTTTCCCACCCTCAGACTAAAGTGTCTGTAGATAGTCATCAATAACACTCTCAGAAACTAATATGTCTTATTGATCTCTTTGTTCAAGTACCATTGAAGTAGAAACTCACATGTTTCATTGTTGTTTGTTGTATCAAAGTACAATCTTTTGATGACATCAGTAATAGGAAAATGACATGTAGCTTCACTTGTGAGCTACTCACTTACCATGGTCACATAGATACAGCCTGAAGGTATTACAGTTATTTCTGTTGGAAAAAAACACTCCAAAAAAGCTGAGTGAAGGTGTTACTGGCTTTGATATAATGGGCTACAGATAGTAAAGGAGGAGTAAGCAAAGAATTTAGAAGGAAGTGTAACCAGCATATGTAAAATCTTAGCTAGACTTTTCACTGTGAATTGTACAAATGGGGGGAAATGGCTCATTTCAATACAGAGGAAAGAGGTTGAAAGAACCAGCTGCAGAACAGAAAGAGGGAGTGACTGCAAGCCTTAAGAGTACTGTTATCTAGTGGTCATGTCTTGTTCAGGAATATCTCAATTTGTCTGTTAAACAAGAAAAGTTGTGCATGTTTCACAAATAAACCAGGCAAAGATCGGTTCAAATAAAGGTGAGAAACTCACCAGAGATAGGAAAAAACATCTCCTCCACAAAGAAACCTAAGATTAGACAGCCTCATTCAAAGTTGTGATCTATCTAACTTTAAGGAAACATGTTAAGTGACAAACTATTTCTTGAGTGTTCTAGAGCAGATTCTAAACTACCAGTGCAGTTAAATTTGTTTCAGGATATGTGGAAGCACCACAACAATAGAAAGCTAGTGACTTAGGGGGAGAAGCTTTCAGAAATTTGCCAAAGTTCGGGTTTGGTTGACCTGAGTGAGAGAAGAGTTAGTACAACCAAAAATGCTTTTGAAATTCTTGTCTTTAATTTATTTAATCTGTTGAAATACCACCAAAATGAAAATTCAAATAAAAAAATAAAACCCCAAAAAAAAATTCTGGCTTTTTGACAGAATGTTATTTTGCTGGGACTAGCAAATAAAAAAAAAAAAAAAGGAGTAATTAAACAGAGAATATCAATCTTCTAACTCCATTTTAACAGTGGTAAATCAGAGACTATACAGTTACAGAGTTATTACATATTTTAATGGTACTATCACAATTATAGGGTGATATAGTTGTATCTTATCAAAAATAATATGTTATGAGCCTGATTGATAAACATGATTCATACATTTGCTGGGTACACCTGTAAATGTTTTTCAGAAAACAAAGCCACATGATTGTGACTAAGCAGTATCATAATTCAGAGGCCTGTTATAAACCACAAGATGGTCCCAAACATACTCTAACAATACTGAAGAAAGTAGTCCCTCATTTCTTTAAATCCTCGTTATTTTTTAAATTACCTATTTCTTCAAAGTATTTTAAACACATTACAGTTGGAGACCAATTTCTACAAATCAGTAAGAATTTTACTCAAAAGTCCTGAATGCATTTCTAGTTTAAATGTCAGCAGTTGTTTAAAAATGTCAAGTAAACATTGTAATACAGAAACCTGCAACCAAATAAACTTTGAAGCAATTTACATCTCCCTCTTGATTACAAAGTTATGAGAATCAGTATTTCCATGGCTTAATGTTTTGAATTCTTTGATTAACTTTTATTGTATGCTAATCATACTAAAAATATGCATATCTTCAAAGTCTTTTGAAGAAAAAAGACCAAAAATGAAACATATGCGAAATCTCCTATTCATGTTAATGGCAGCAGTGTTCCCTGGCACAGTCCTAGCCCTTTTTAAGTTTATGTGTTAGTCTTACAAGTTACTTCAGTGCAGCATGAATGCTCATGCAATATTGTTATCATCTGAGTCAGATGTGTACCCCTTTTGCTGATATTTATGCTTTCTTCATTGCTGTCCCCTTTTTTTAAAGAAGTATCTGGAGGTTAAGTTTTAGCACATGAAATTTAGAAAATATTTGTCCTATTTCTGTCAGATAATGGTCACACATTTGCTAAACTTTTTTTTCCTCTTTACAGTATGTAAGGGGAATATTGGAGTAAGAAACAGGAAATGTCACCATAGTTTTGGGAATAGGATGAATTTCTTATTTTTTATATATAAACAACATTAAAAGAGTTTTGGAAAGCACAGACATGTTTTTCAGAGTGGACTTTTCCTGTGTGGCTTATTGACTCACTAACTTTCAGACTATTGCAAAGGATTGTTCTTTCCCTGAAACCTTCAGCAAATGTCAATATGAATTTTTTTAAAGTGCAAGTTAAGGACCAGCAGAAGGAATAATTTGGTTAAATGTTGTACCTTCTGTTTTATACACAGGATTTGATAACTCTACTGCAACTGTCCATTATGGATACATTAATCTATTGTACTTTTTCTTCATTGTGTTTATAAGTTCTGTTTTCTTGAGCCCGTCTCTTTACAGAATACTAAGTGGATTTCAAAGTAGGATTAACTTGTAGGTTTAGTACACAAATCTGTAGCAATCACTGATATTCTCCTGTGAACCACAAGAGTGGGGAACTTGTGACCCTGCAGTTGGATACAGACCATGACTGTATTTCCTCAGGCCCATTGCCATCCCCTTATGCACATTTATTGGCTATCACTAAAGCATGAGCTAGTGACTGTAAAACATCTTTCGTAGGCTTATTTGGCCTTGAGCAGGGAGAAGATTCCACCCCCCACCCTCTGGTATTATCAAAATTAGTATCAAATATTAAATGAGCAATTGAAAAAAAGAATTCAATTAGTGGAGGAGGATCAGATTACAGTGAACTTATCTCCTGGGTCCACAGCCCATAATAATGACTTTATTTGGAACAAAATTATTGAAAAATACCAGTTTAAAATATGCCCTGTGTCTATTTCAGTCAAATTGAAACAGATATTTGTGGAGTTATGGGATGGTTGGAGTGGATGTATTTGAGAGTCAGAGATATGTTTTTAAGATGAGCCTTGAGTGTTCTTTATTAACTGAAAAATGTAACCAGCAAGGCAGGTTCCAGTATATTTGAACACATTCTTGAAAGTCTTACAACCTATTTTCAGGCAAAGCAGCAATCTCCTAGGGGGATGATGTGGTCTGAGCCTCACCCGGACGCAGTCTCTGGGGCGGGAAGCTGGGCATACTTCACAACCACTGCAGGCAACTTCACAGAGATTCTTCCTGTGCCTACATGATTCTTTCTTACATGAACCTTTCTGTTTTGTTCTTGAAAGAAACCCGGTCTGCCAGCTGGGTTCCTCAGAACAATTTTGGCAATAAATCACAGCCAGTGTGAGCACTTTCTGTCACTTGTAGAACTACTTCATGAGGCAAATATAATGCAAGTAGGCTGACTGCAGATAAAGTTTGTGTTTTATTGCAACAATTCTTTGAAACATCAATGAAATTATCTGTAAAAGTCCACAGGCTGGTGTCCTTCCAGGAAGTATTTTGATCTAGTGTAGAGCAAGCTAAATTAATGAAAAGAAAAAAGAAGTTCAGGCTTTTGTTATTTGTCTGGGTATCTAAGCATGACTTGCCACTGTTCCATCAGTTCTGTTGAAGGGTCACATCAACCTTTCCTACTTGCTCCTGGTTACTGATTTGTATCTGCTCCTTTGTGAAAATGTTAAGCAATATCTGTAACACAGTAAAAGAATAAGACATTAGCCTCATAATTACAAGAAAGACAGCTACATTCCCTTTGATTTTTTTTTTTTTTTTTTTTTTTTTTTTTTTTTTACATAGACAAAACCAGAAGATAGTTGGGTAGATTTTTTTTCTCAGTTCCTCTGGAGTGCCCATATATATACTCTCGCATTAGAAAATGTGTAGTAAAATAAATTAATACCTGATATTTACCCAGCATATAAAATAGACAGGCCTTCACTTCCACATAAATATTCCATGGAAACATTGAAGAACAACCTACATAATTCAGTGTTTGTTTGAATCTTTACCATTTTCTCTTAATTTGTCTGCATGCTGGTTTACTAGCCAATGATTCTGAGAGACAAGGAAGGCTTAAGCCATCTTTAACTCTTGTTTTTGGAAAGATAGTAAAGATCAGTCAGATAATTGCTTGTCTGGAGAATAATCCATTGAGCTCAATTAAAAATGAGATTTAAAAGTGTAAGAAGTGCAGTGCCATTTTTAGTTATATATTGTACTCATGTATGTCTTTTCAGGAGTTTACAAATTTGAAATGGGATCTCTCTGCTGTGAGTCCCATTGTGTGTATCAATTTAAAACAATACCCATGGGTTGCACCAGGCCTTGGGCATTTAGAAAAACTGACAGTTTGATATCTCTGTTTGAAGATCCAGGTCCTAAAATTTAGCACATTTATTCCAGTAGGTCTACTAATGGTTTCTTTTCCATACACTCACTAGGGACAGTGGTCACATAGTCTTTTTCTACTTTATATCTAGATATTGGTAAGAATATGTCCCATCTCCTGAATGGAGTCTAATTTTAACTCCAGTCACAATGTGATAAGGCCAAATTAAGCAATGTTGTCAGATCAGGAGACATAGGATTTGGGGGACTGCTGTGTAGCATTAAGATACAAGTGAGCTCTAAACCAGGGACAGCAGTAACAGTCTGGCCAGAGCAGAGCATCATTCACAACAGGCGAGCTGACTCAGCAAAGAAGTTGCCTTTGCTTTATTTAGCACTAATGTTTGACAAATGCCACCAACCTCTCATTTTTTAGCTGCTCTGTGGTAACTGCACACAGATAGTCTTTTTCAGACGCAGAGCAATTCAGTTCAGCTTGACTGGACTGAATCAGCTAAGACCATGTCCTATTTGCATGGGCCAGGAGCAGACAGAAAGGTGGCTGCTGTGGCTTGGCTGATGTGAGCTACATATTGTCTCACTCCTCAGTTATCAAAATGTACTGAACATTGCTGTATTTTTATGTGATTTTCTGTAGCTGGATCTTTTCCCCTACTAGCTTTTTGAGTCCTATAAAGATATCTTCTAAAATAACTGCCTTGATGTGACATTGTGCAAGATTTGACTAATTTAAACGTAATTACCAATTTTCTCACCTTGATGAGTGCATTCAGTTCTGATTAACTAATTTGAAAAAATGTACTGAAAAAATAGAAAAGAGAAGATAAAGACATTTCGGGGAGAGGTACAGTAGAAGCAGAAATCTAAAAAGAATTTTTTGCCTTTTTAATTTGGAAATTAAACTTGTTAGTAAGAAAGACATTCAGATATGTTAAGTAGGATAAAGAAGGTCAAGAGAAAGTCAATACAGGAATGATATTTTATTTTCTCTGAATACAAACCTAAAGTGCTTTCAGTAAACTAAAATGCAAGCTATATATATTTCAGTATAGCTTTAGGTGGTACCTTCATATTCTGTGGAACTCATTGCCACAGGATGTTACTTACAAAATAAGTATTTGCAGAAATGTGCACTAGATTTAGATAAGCTTTAATAAAATTACAGGAATTATCATCTTCATGCTTTAAATCAGTATCTGAGCACCTCACCTCTAAAGAAAACTTTTCCTGCACTACAGTACTGCAAAACCAGTTATCTTTTGTTATATGCATACCTTCCCCTCAGATATTTATAATTAGTTTGAGACTACCAGATCACATTGAACCACTGTTTTTTTAAGGTTATTGGCAGATTCATTTTTCCTAAATTATTTACATGACAAAGTCAGAAACTGCTAATGCTATGGGCCATGACAGCTAGTAAAATAATTGATTAAAATATTTAATAAGCTTGTGTGCAAGACATAACTCTAGATGGAGCAGTTCTCTTTGTTTGAACTTGCTTTGCTGAGCTGATAATGATTTCAGTAATTTAGTAACTATTAGACAAATGACTGGCAGAAATATGATAACACAGTTCTGTTGAAATATTCAAATTTAGATTGGCTTTCCTTAATAAGAAGTTCATGAATTAGTACAGGAGGAAACCTGTAGTAGGTGTTCACCTTCCCAAATTTATTATTTGAAATAATGGCAACAGATATTTTATGAAATAACAAGATTGTATAAAGCAGCAAAAAATAATTAAATATTTCTCATCAACCTTCTTGAATATATCATTTGCTTTAGTGGCAAAATAACATTTAGAAGAGAGAAATATGGAAAAGTTATAGCTAAATACTGGAGTTATGGAATTTAAGCTGCTGTGTCATGTGTCAGTGGTATAAGTGTTACCAGATTCATTTAAAATGCTTCAGAGCTCTGCTTGTTGCACTGTTCAGAGGGAAGCTGCATGTGGTCAACTTTCAGTCCTACCTCACAGGAGAAAAGTAGAGGTCACCAGTGGCCAGTCTTTCCCTTCTAACTCCTTGTCCACAATCAAGATGTCCAGGAAAATAGAACCAGTTATCCCATAGCATTTTTCTCTGGCTTCTGGAACCACCACAAGGAGCATGCTCAGCACCTCATCACTGTGAGTGCTACCAGTGTTCCCTCACCTGCTCTTCTCTATAGCTTTCTAAGAGAGTACACCTCCCTAGCATACTTCCAGAGAAGTAGTCCCATTCATTTAGTTTTCCTCCAACCCCCAATATTCATAACAGATCATTCATAGCAAAATTAAAGATGTAAACTGCAAAAAAACAAGAGGAGCAATATTCTTTGGTCTGACTGCCTCTATTCTTCATGAAAAGAAGAAGCAAAAGAGTAGGTTCCACTTAAGTTCCTTTTCCTAATTAAACTCCACTCCCGGAAAATTAAATGTAAAAAAAAAGGCCTTTCACACCTGGTGTCCCCAAACCTGAGTGGATGCTTGAGGTAAATCTGTGCACATTAGCTTAATTTTCCTTTCCTTCAGAATGAGACTTTAAGGAAAGCATCCCTTGGAGTCCTGCTTTTTGTTAATGACCATTCCTCATTTTGAAACTAGCCTCAAACTACACAAGCAAAATAGTATGTGCATAAAGACTAGATGATAAGAAGTTAAAAGAATTTATTCTGTAGAATGTGCAATTCTTTGCACACATAGAGTAATAAACACTGTGAAAAGGAAGGGGTTTGTACCAATGTGGAAATACCTGCAATTGAGAGGATGACAATTATAGTTCTTCCTTTTCACTTTCTTCTCTGTCCTCAGCCTTTTACACAGTTGGTATCATGGACCAAGTTTCATTAGTGGAGATTAAAAAAAGATTACTCAATTACAGGACTTTATTAATGCAATTTTTTAATCTGTTTTAATAGTCTGTGACTTTCTGTACTCACCCTAGATCTCTGTATTATACTACTAACAAAGTATTGCAATTTTATAATAAACCTGGAAACAACTTCAAGACTCACATATTCTATCAGAATTGACTTCAATATCAATATTTCTCATCAAACACTGTAAGTGGATATCTAATGTATGATTGACTTTCTTCAACAATATTGCCTCCCAACTTCTCATGAAAAGTTGCCTTTATAACTTTTTTGCAACATAATTTCCTAATATTTATTTTTTTTTTCTTATATGCATTGAACATGCTGATTTTCCCCATATTTAACAGTTTATCCCTTCCCTCTGTCCCATTCCATCTTGTCAATCCAGGCCAATCAAATTATAACTATTCTCTTTATTCTGCCTTCTTCAGAATTTGTTTATACAAAAAAATACATTAAAAAATTGACTGTTTAAAAGGTAAAAAACCCTTTCTAATATGTTAAATGAGGAGGTACCCTAGGGTACAGATTAATGACCTATTAATATTCCTTTTAGATGGTTTAAACCAATTTCCTTTCATTCCATCCTGCCTGACAGCACACTGCAGTCATGTATTCATAGGGTGGTAATAAATGCCCCTCCAAGATTTTTCTGCTAAACTGCAAGCCATCAGTAGAGTACCTATTCAAGGAAAGAACAGGATTTGCTGGGCCTCTGGCAAAATAATCCCACATTAGATATGGAGAGGCAAGATGCTGAACCACATTGCTAAATGTGATGCTTTAACAGAAAGCAATCCATGGGATACTTCTGTTTGCCAGCAGTCGGAGGTCTGAGTCAACAGGAATATTGTCTACCTCTCTCCTGATCTAGATGAGTTGTGTCATTACAGATTAATAAATTATATGGCCTGACTTTATAGTTTCAGCACATTAGTCACTCCACAATCATATTCAAGATAAAAAAAAGCAGGGCATACATTTTCTAATTGGGAATTTCTAAATCAATATTCATTTTACAAAAGGAGCTATGTTAACAAATGAATATGGGTGGTTGGCAGAAAGGAAAATTATGCCTGGAAGAACTTACAAATCACAAAGGAAAGCAATCACTTAATTTCCATTGAGTGAAATTAATTTCTGTTGAGCAAGTAGCAGGTAGCAAGACAAACACTGCACAGTACCAATTTAGATGTGATTAAAAGAAGGCAAAAGATGAGAAAGATGCATGGAGTTTAATGAAAGGTTATGAAATACTGGAACATTAACTCTAGGGTAAATAAATAGTGGATTTTTCTCAGAATACAGTACCTAACATCAGACCAATCATGATACATAATGTAAAATTACTGGCCAGTTCCTTTGGAAACAAGTCACAGTTTTGCCATTAGCTTCGATGGCAGTGAGAGGGATGTATTTACTGAATTTGAGTATATTGTACAGCTGTAAAGTCAAATTCACAGCTGAAAATATTAATCTAACTCTGTGAAATAAATTAAATCCAGTGAGGATCTTACCTGAGAGGGGACTGAAAACGTTGGTGCACAAACACAGATGTCTCTTGCACAGTTCATACAGAGCAGTACATGTTGAAGCATTAAGTATCCACTTATTATCAAATTAACTATGAGATGAAGATTCAGAACTTCCACAGCTTGATTCCTTCAAAAGCATCTTTGATGTACAGCAATATCTGTTGCCAAAGTCTTTTACCTGTTCCCTACAATCACACAGATACTCATTTGTACATGTGGACTAATATAACTTTTCTCAATTCTGTATGTTTTTTAACCAAAACAGAAATGAAAAAAAAAAAAAAAATATGAACACCTCACAATAAGATCAGGCTCCCAGAGCTGGAAAGAAAAATATATTTTCAGAACATGTCCAAACCAAGTTTAAGTATTGATTTAAGGTTTAGAATATTATTGTTCTTTCATTGAAACAATAGCCAGTTTTCTCATGAAGGTCCCAATTTCACATGAAGTCACTGAGATTTAAAATAATTTCCTGAAGGAGTCTCTAGTTTCCATTGCTTTATTTCAGGGCTCACAGAATTCTCTAAATAATCACTTAATGTAACACATTGTTGTACTTTTAAAAAATCAGTCCTGCCTCTTAAAAATAGGCCTATTTTCATTGCAGTGGTATTTCTTTGCATCTGTCTCACAGCACCAAAGTGTGTGTGGGATATCTTAAGAACAAATTATGTAAAGAACAGCAGAATTGTTAATTTGAGAGTTACGGATAAAGATTCCTAAATTTAGACAACCATCTCAAAGACCTCTCACTAAACTTTCTCAATAATTCTCTCACAAAACATTTTCAATACACAGAACATACTCTAAAAAAACCCTGTGTGCCCCTTGAGGCCATATTACAGTAGAAACAGAGTCTAGATGTTTTGTCTAAGCAGGAGCAGGCATGGTTCAAAGCAATAAGGTAAAATGCATCATAAACAAGCTTCAGCTTTCATGCCTTCCTGAGTCTGAATCTCTGATGAACAACCCACTGTACTTTCAAGCTGTGGTGCTATAAAGGAAAGGGAAATGATCTGGGTTTTGTGTTTTTCCTTTTAAGGCAATAAAGGAATCTCACTGAGATAGATTTCTCATAAGAAGTGCACCAGCTCTCCCATGAAAACTATTCTGTGTGACCCAAAGCCAGGACCATGTCTACATAACTTTGCACAAGAGTGATCATGCTTGTCAACATACCAGTAGGTATTTGAAGTCTCTACTGGTACTTTTAAGCGCTGCTCTCCTGTTTTGAACATATTCTGCCATTGTCCATCTTAAGAAATCCAACTGAAGGAAAAAATATAAGGTGGTTGTGGTCCTTACTTTATAGGAATTTATGTGGAGACAGGACTTAACACTATGATTTCTGCTAGTTGGGGAACAGATTATTTCCAAGCACTTACCTGGTTTTGATCACATAACCCCGGTGTCTGCACACAGAGAAGAAGAAACAGTTGAGCGCTACTGACAGCTGAGTCGTTAGTGTTTTCTCTGCTAGATGTCAGCAATCTGATGGCTGCAAGCAATGTTTTCCAAACAGTAGGCAAAATCCCGCCCCTGCAGATTTCAGTGGCAAAACTCAGCTGACTTCACTGGGATCAGGATTTCATTTAGTGTCTCTGTATTTTAAAACTCAGAATTTGCCAGAGGCATAGTCCTTCAGAGATAAATAATTCTTACAAAACAGAAAGAGAGAAAACCCCATTGCTTTCCTATCAGCTAAAAATCTTCCATAGCAATGAGTACAAGAGCAAATAATCTTTCTCACTATATCTTAAGGGGCTTTATAGTGTATATAAAGTGTAATCTCTCATTGGATCACAACAACCTGTTTGTTGCATTCAGGCGAGAGCCACTATTCCTATGTGTGCAATTGGATGATCTATAATAAGTGTTGCTGTGGAGTTTGATGTTGCTGATAGCTCCACTTCCCAGCAGTGAAGCTTCTTCTAATCAGTTTTCCTCTTAGTGAAGGTGTATTTGACTTAAGTAGTATCTCCAATTTACCTATGAAAAATATTAAAATAATCCATAATGATGTAACAATAAATGAACAAGTTAAAAAATGTCCCACTAACCTTAACATCCCCTTATGTAAATTTGCTCTCACTATCACTAACCCCAGATATTCAAAACCCAAGGCACTGGAATTCTCTAGCAAGTCCCATGGTGGTTGTTTAGACAGGCTATAGTATAAATGTACATCCCAGCAAAATTTTACTTTCAGATGATGCATAAAGAGTCAGCCATTTGGGGCTTTAGGGTCATTCTTCGATATAATTTTTTGGTATACAAATACAGTTAATTCAAAAGACTACTAAATACTTTCTCCTCATTTATCCTGAAATATCAATATAACATCTGAAAAAAAAAACTAAGGGAACAGGACTTCATTCTTCTAAAGATTCAATCCTCTTTGATAAGGATCAAAAGTACTGGAATCAGATGAATTATATTATTCATAATGCCAACAACCACTGCTGTCATGTATACATATACAGTCATTCATTTGTGTCTAATCAGAAGGTGTCTCCCTATAGCTCCATGACTTGCATGTACATAAAATGTGTCTGACTGTATACCTGGAGTGACAGAATTTGAATAGACAAAGTGTTGTACAAGTTGGCAGAATTGCTTAAACGCACATGTATGTACACGATGTATGAAAGGGAAAAGAGTGGAGCAGTCACATCCCTCTCCTACTTTTTAATCTGTGATCAAATAAGCTGATCTTGCAGCCCTCAAGTGTTTTTTATATTAATGATATAATGTCATTCATTACTTAGTTTTAAAACGTTCAATATACTTTATAACAGGTTAGAGACTAAAACAAGGTCAGGTTACTACATCTTTTATCTATCAGGTTCTGCCTCTAAGGCAGAAAAGAACATTAAAGTTTTTTTCATTGCTGTACATTGGCTGTATTTTACATCATGGGTTCTGAGCCCACAATAAGGTAAATATAATCAACTTGGTATGAAAATCATACTGTTTTCTACAATACTGTGTCTTTTAATAGCTCAGTGTTTTATTTGGCAAATAGTTTCATGCAAAGTGGGATAAGAAAGGTAGGTGAAAATATATTTAGTTGCCCGCTTTGAACATGGTAGCATAGATTTTTGAGATTTTTAAAAATAACTTTTATTTGAATGTAATAAATATGAATTTGTTGTTTTAATTGCTGTTGACTTTGAATTGTTTCCAAGTTACTTCTTACTGACATGCATAAAAATTAATCAATTAAAAATATATATAAAAAACAGCACATGTAAAAAACCAAACAATTTTCACTTGTATATTTCTGTTTCATTTAATGTTAAAATCTTCATGGTTTGGGTGTATACTCATAGGAGCATAACACAATAGGCTTCCCAGCTACCTTTATACCATATGTTGAGATGTGACTCTTTTTTTAGGAATTGCAAGCACTTAAAATTACTTGGTTTATTATTTTCCTCTCAAGAATTTCTAGTTGTTCTAATTTGTCAGTTTATTTTTACAAAGAAAACCAGAAATAAATAAATGCATTTAATTTTTTTTTTTTTTACTTGACATACTCTGATTCAACAAGTCAAAACAAAACAAACCAAGAAAAAAAGGAATATCTTAATCATTAAAAATCAGGGGGAAAAAAATGGAATCATATACATGGCTTTGGGTGAATACAACAGATGTTAGTTCCTCTAACCATAATCCACAACATCAAGTAGTCCTGAAAGACACTACAGGGAAGTAGATTCCAAAATGCCTGGATTGTCATGATATTGTGTTTGAATTCTAACTGTTACTCATTTCAGTTAGGCTCAGTTTCAGGAAATCTGAGAAGCTTTGAAACATATGTGCCTACATTGCTAACTGTCTTTCCCCCCCGCCTCTTCCTTTCATTATCTTCTCCCCACAACCTTTTCTTCATTTCCCTTGACTTCATTCAACTTTCTCATGCTGGCATCCATAATGAATAAATTCACTGGTACAGCTAGGAATATATTACTCTTGAATATTCCCTGCGGCAAAGTTCCATCAAAATTGCTTATCAGTGACAGATGCCCACTCAGAGATGCAAAATTGCCTAACTCAGTCCTTCCTTTCCTACCCACTTTTGCAATATGTGAATGAAAAGGGAGGTAAGAGGACAACAAACTTTGCCTCTAATGTACAAACCTTTTAAGTGTTCCAATTATTCTGATTCCCATCCAGGATGCTGGAAGTTTACTTATTCCATGTGTGCCGGCATCCACCAGCCAGCAAAAATAAGGCCATTTTGAATAATCTAATTGTTTGAACTGCTTTCCAAAATTAATACTCTCAGGACATTTTTTCAAAAAAAAAGGAAGGAGATGGGAAATAACACTCTCAACCTGTATGAATAGTTCCTGGTTCACTCATGTTCACACACACACAGTGCAATGACAGCACTTTCTCTAATGATGGATTCAGTTCCTTGCCTCCTCTAGCTTTTTCTGTAAGATAGAAAGGTTATTCTGCTTTAATACCACTAAACCACATTATTAAAAGTTTGGCCATCACTTCAACAGGCACAGTATTTCAGGTGCAATACTAATGTCAATAGACCTGTTGCTGTTAACAGATGGCAAGGCACTTGGGATACATGTTGGTGAATGCTTACACATGATTTCTACCTCTGAGAAGGCAAGAGGGTGGAGGTATCTTTGCACTCTCTGCTCTTTTACGACTGCTGTTTGTGCTAGGATGGCTGCACTAGGTGCACAGGACATTCACCAGGTTAGCAGCAAACATGACTAGCATGGATTCCTTAACCAGTCAGTCATCCTGAACCACCAAATGACTGGAAAGGCTTCCATGCACTGGCTTTCCAGTGTGTATTCACTGATGTAAGGCCTTTGACATGGCCCCTCACAACATCCTTCTCTCTAAAGTGGAGAGATATAGATTCGATGGATGGACTGTTCAGTGGATGAGGAATTGTCTGGATGGTTGTATCCAGAGGGTAGTGGTCAATGGCTCAATGTCTGGATGGAGATCTTTGACAAGTAATTGTCCCTCAGGAGTTGTATTTGGACCAGTACTGTTTAATATCTTCATCAGTGACATAGACAGTGGGATCAAGTGCACTCTCAGCAAGTTTGCAGATGACACTGAGCTGTGTGGTGTGGTTGAAACACTGGTGGTGCCATCCAGAGGGACCCAGAGGGCTCGAGAATTGGGCCCATGTGAACATCATGAGGTTCAACAAGGCCAAATGCAAGGTCCTGCACCTGGGTCAAGGCAAGCCCCAGTATCAGTAAAGGCTGGGGGATGAAGGGGTGGAGAGCAGCCCCGTGGAGAAGGTCTTGGGGATCAAAAACTGGACACAGGATGGTAATGTGTGCTTTCAGCCCAGAAGCCAACCATACCCTGGGCTGCATTACAAGAAGTGTGACCAGCAGGTTGAGGGAAGTAATTCTGCCCCTCTAATGCATTCTTGTGAGACCCCACCTGGAGTACTGTGTTCATTTCTGGAGTCCTCAGCACAGGCAAGATATGGACCTGTTGGAATGGGTCCAGAGGATGGCCACAAAAATGATCAGAGGGGTGGAACACCTCTCCTGTGACAAAGGGCTGAGAGAATTGGAGTTGTTCAGCCTGGAGAAGAGAAGGCTCCAGGAAGACCTTATTGCAGCCTTTCAGTACTTAACGGGGGCTTACAAGAAAGATGAGGACATACTTTTTAGTAGGGCCTGTAGCAATAGGACAAGGGGTAATGGTTTTAAAATAAAAGAGGGTAGATTCAGACCGGTTATAAAGAAGAAATTTTTTTTGGTGAGCATGGTGAAATCCTGGAACAGTTTTCCCAGAGAGATGATAGATGTTCCATCCCTGAAAACATTCCAGGTCAGGTTGGACAGGGCTCTGAGCAACCCGATTTAGATGAAGATGTCCCTGCTCATTGCAGCGGGGTTAGAGTAGATGACCTTTAAAGGTCCCTTCCAACCCAAACTATTCTATGATTCTGTGTGTTTTTGGAAGGGCATAGCACATATCTTATGCAAGGCACAACTTAGGCCCTGCTTAGAAACAGAGATAGAGGTATGAAAGCCTGGTTTATTGAAACTCATTGAAAGACATCCTCAAACCTGCAAGTCTGTCAATCAAGTCTGTGCCACTACTTGGCAAATCTGAGCTGCTTTGTATTTGTTGGGAGGAAGCGTAACAAACTGAGAAGCTTTGTCTGGTTTTGTTGTGCACAAACCACATGAAATCTGGTCATTTTGATCCTTTTTTTTTTTTTTTTTTTTCCAGATATGAAAAGCAACTGTATACTGTCAGGCTGAAGTATCTTGTTATATATCAAGAGAGCAGAGCAAAGAGGCAATCTCCAGAGAAAGCAAAGTGCCAGTATGTCTTTTACTCTACTACAGAGACTGTGCCATAATAGAAAGAAGTACCCTCTTGCACTCGAGTAGCACCTCTCTCTTTAAGAAAGCTTTTCCAGGAAAGTAGACAAGACTGCTGAAACATCCATACAATCCCACTGCAAAAGAATTCCCAC